CCGGCGGGGGAGGGGGCATGAGCCGGCGCCCGCCCGGGGCCGCGAGCTGCGGGCCGGCCTAGAGCCCCTCGCCGGCCCCACCGTCCCACGAACCGAGCTGCCACCAAGCCGTCTCCGCTGCCCGTGGGCGCCGCGATGCAGCGGCCGGGTGAGCCTGGAGCCGCGCTCTACGGCCCGGCCGAGGGCTGCGCTGACCAGCGGCCGCACCGTTACCGCAGCTTCATGATCGAGGAGATCCTTACCGAGCCGCCCGGACCCAAGGGCGCTGCGCCCGCCGCTGCCGCAGCTGCGGCTGCGGGCGAACTGCTCAAGTTTGGCGTGCAGGCGCTGCTGGCGGCGCGGCCCTTTCACAGCCACCTGGGTACGTGCGCGCTGGCGGAGGGCCGCGGGCGGGACTCGGCGGAGGGCGCGCCGGGAGTCCCTCAATCAGGGTGCCCGCATTGCCAACGGAACCAGCTCTGGGCATGCAGCCCCTGGAGCCCCTCTCGGCGCGCTCCGGCTGGTAAGCGAAGGGACAAGTGGCCTGGCAGAGTAGAAAACCAGGCCTCGGACTCGTGTGCCCGGCCGGGGATGGTGTTAGCTGCCCACTCCGTCAGGACAGCTAGTAATTGAGGGCTCTATCCCGGAGGGTCTGTGCCCAGCATCGAGGCCCCCATCCCCACTGGAGGCGCAAGGCAGACCCCCCCGGACGCCCGGTTTCGCCCTCGCTTGGGCTTCAGGCTGACGACCACTGCCCGGCCTAAACGACCTCAGGCCGCTGTCGCCTGGGCCTTCGCCCAGCGGGTTGGCCAGGAGTGGCTGAGATTGACCAAGGCAAGGAAGCTGGATCTCTGGGGAAGAGACCCGGGTCTCCCAGTGCTTGAGGCTGACGCTGGTCCCACCCTGCCTGGAGCCTCGCAGAACCCACGGCACTCCCAATGCACCACTCCCGGGTGCGACAAAGAACGCGGCCTAGGCTGCACCCTAGGCCACCCTGACGGAGCCTTGCCTAGCGGCAAGAGGCCTGGAGTGTGAGCCTTGGCCAGATTGCCCCTTCCACTTTCAGGTCAGCTAGGCCTTCAAGATGCCTGAGCCGCCTGCTCAGACGGCTCTCTTTTTCCAGGCAGGCCTGCTAGGCCTTGCCCTGCCAGTGCACTCTCCACTATGTTGCCTTTCCACAACTTCAGTTGTCCTCTTTTGGTCTCCCTCTTTCCCTGGGATGGGTTTGCTGCCCCTCTTCCACCTTTCTCTCAATGATCCCTTTTTTCTCAACTGTTCTTCCTCTCCACATTCCACCCTACCACCTTGCCAGGGCCACCTTTGCCAACTCCAGCCGGGCTAGGGACAGAGTCCTTGGTGAAAAGACTGTGGAAGGGAGGACTCCTACTATATAGCAGTAACTCTAGCCCCATAAGCCTTTTCTGGCCCTCTGTGACTCTCCAGCCAGTGCTGGGCCTGAGCAGGGTGACAGGGCCAGTTTGTTCGATTTAATTCTAGCTCTGACTCAGCCTTTAAGCAGCCTTTCACTTCCAGCTACTCTGTTGCTAATATTCATTTAAAGTGGACAAAAAATAAATAATTTTACAATGTAAAAAAATGGAAACATTTTAACGAGGAAGTATCTGAACAGAGAAAAAACGTGAACAACGATTTTCCTAATTCATGAACTTTGGAATGCATAATTACCACTGCTGACAACCTGGCCCTCCGAATGGCTGCCATGCACAGAATCGCAGATATACACTCTACTGATTTTTCCCCCTCCTCCTGCAAGCAGAAATGCCGATTTTGTTGGGACAAAAGTTCCATCTTCCTGTTTACGGTTTACTTCTTGGTTTCTCTTTTCCACAAAGACAGGCTCTGCTCTTCTCGGAGTTGCAAAATTGTTAATCGATAACCTCAAAATCTCAGAGGCGATGGGATTTTGGGGAACGCTCGGGTTGGTGGAGGTTCTCCCTCCTAAATTCCTGGGACATGAGCATTGAGGAGGATCGCCACCGGCAGGTGATTCAAATTCCGCTAGCGGCCGAGCCCCAAGGTTTGTGCTGGGCGGCACTGGCCGAGTTTGCCTCCCCTGAGTCGAAGAACATGGGGTAGCCTCACACATTGCGCTGGGGCCCGGAGATGGAGGAACATGGCCTGAGCCCAGCCCACAGCTCACCCAGCTCTCCACTCTCTTCCCTCCGCAGCGGTGCTGAAGGCCGAACAAGCTGCAGTGTTCAAGTTCCCTCTGGCGCCGCTCAGCTGTTCCGGGTTAGGGTCGGCGCTGCTGGCCACAGGTCCGGGGTTACCCGGCGCCGCGGGCACGCCGCACCTGCCGCTGGAGTTGCAACTCCGCGGGAAACTGGAGGCGCCTGGCCCAGGGGAGCCGGGCACCAAAGCCAAGAAGGGACGCAGGAGCCGCACGGTATTCACCGAGTTGCAGCTGATGGGCCTGGAGAAACGCTTTGAGAAGCAGAAGTACCTCTCCACACCGGACAGGTAGGGCAGAGTCGCACTGGGGCGAAGCAGGCAGTGAAAGGAAGTGTTTTCTGCTCTGCTAAGGGTGCGCTCTGCTGGTTCGCAGAATAGATCTCGCGGAGTCCCTGGGCCTGAGCCAGTTGCAGGTGAAGACGTGGTATCAGAATCGAAGGATGAAGTGGAAGAAAATAGTGAGTATGTTCCCGTGGCTTCTCGCGCCCTAAATTTCCCGGCCATGCGGTTGTGCTCTCTGGACCTGATCTCGCTCTTCCTCTCTCCTCCTCCAAGCTCCTGTAGGAGCTTCTGCCTAATCTTAATTCCCTAGGTGCCTGGTATTCTTGGGGACCCTCTCCTGACTCTCCAGGTGCCCTATGCCCTCAGGCCTCCAGGCAGCCTTAAACCTCTCCTCGAGGTTCTCACCAGCAGCACTCAGAAAGTGGCCACCGCCATTCCTCACCCCACCCCCCGGAATTGAGTGTGGCCTCGGATGGCCTCTCTTGGTTGGGTCCCTTGGCCTTCCCGGGTCGGGCTCACTGTGGTGCTTGTGTTCCCTGCGCAGGTGCTGCAGGGTGGCGGCCTGGAGTCCCCCACCAAGCCCAAGGGGCGGCCTAAGAAGAACTCCATACCAACAAGCGAGCAGCTCACGGAGCGGGAGCGCACCAAGGAGGCAGAGAAACCGGCGGAGGCGCCTGGCGAGCCCACCGACAGAAGCCGGGATGACTGAGTGCGACAGGGTACGGAACCGGAATCCCCGCGTCGCCCGTGGTACTTAGCCGCGGAGAGGCGCGAGCCGGTCCTGCCATGTCCACGTCGTTTGCTTCTAAATGTTTTATTATTACCTTGAATGCGATGGGCCAAACGAGAATGGAGACAAGACCCTGAAGTCAAACCCAGGCCCCAGCGAGCTCCTGGCCCTAGCCTCGGAGACTCGGAACCCAGGGAGGCGGAAGCTGTTCTCTTCAGGTCTCAATTCCAGGGCGGTCCCGGGCCTCCACGCGTACTCACACCCTGCTCCTCGCCCTCACCCCACTCCGCCTCGGGCCAGCCTTTCTGGCGCGGGACGCCTCCAGGTCACACACCGCTTCCGCGCGTCGGGGATCCAGCCACTCATCGGAGGCCACCACGGCCCCCGGACAACCCGGCAGCTCGGACCCAAGTCTTCGACGTCGCTGGTACCCCCTACCCCTCTCTTTCGAAGATGGTGACTTTTTTTTTTTTCCAATAAAATATTTTATGACACAGCGGAGATTGTACAGCGGCTTCTGGATTCGCGGGCGGGTGGCGAGAGAGGGAGAGGTGGCGGTTGCTTTTAAAACGTCCTTTACCCGGGCTGTGCGCGGGGGGTGGGGGGTGGGGGGCGGGAGGAACTGCTCTGCTCCACCAGGCGCAGGGTAGGCACTCTGGACGCCTAACTGCTGCGGCATCGGCATCCCAGTAATCGCTTTCATTCTGGGCGGAGGGGAGAGTCTCAACCTTTTCTTCCTTCCTAGCACAGGGCGCCGCCAGCGGTAGCAGTCTAGCTGCACAAGGGTTGCCAAAAAGAAGCGGGAGGCACGGGCAGCCCAGGCCCCAGCGGGGTCGCTTCGGGAAGCACGGCCAGCAGCCGCCTCGGTGTTTCTAGGCTAGTTTCAACCGAACCGACTGTACGATCCTCGCGACGGTCTCCACCAGCCTTTCATGATGCAGATTCGAGGTTCGCACAGAGGCTACCACCAGAGTGGCACCTTAGCCCACACGCCTCTGCAGCAGTGCCGCCTGTCTCAGAACCTTCAGTTTTCCTCGGTGAAGTAAGCAAGACAACCGCAGCTGAGTCTCGGCCTGAGGCAGTGCATCTGATGGCCTTTCTGCTCAATTTTAACTCACCCCTCACGCCTTTAAGCTTTAGTTGGAAACCGGAGCCAGTAGAGGTAGAGAACCCAGAACTGCCAGGAGCCGTGGCTGGCCCAGGGAGGCCCCTTAGAGTGGGAAATTTGGTGGTGCGTGCAGGCAGACGTTCCCTCTTCTTGCCAAGGCCTCAGTTACCTTTTGCCTGTTCCACTCTGGGCTCAGAGCTCGCCAGTGAGTTGCTAGGCTTGCATTTCCTTCAGGATCAGGACTAGAGTATGAGTCTAGAGAGATGAACATTTTGCTATTTAAAGCTCAGGAAGGGGAACAGCTTGACCACACAGAGACCTAACCAGGATCAGAATTTGAAACCAGGTATTCACAAGAATCAAACATCCTATTCAGAGGCAGTCTTTGTGTTTCTGAACTTGAGAACCATCTATTACAGCCCTGCTCCAGCTGCTGCTACTTTCTTAGCAAATGTCCTCTGTTCTTTTGGAACTCCCCCAGCCTTGTTTTTAAGGCTGGGAGTGAGAGACAGAGCAGTTTAGTGTGAGCCTCCAGCACTACCTTCTCTGTGGGGAAAAAACAAACAAACTAAACACATCGTGGTGGAGTCCATCTGACTCATAGGGACCCTATAGGACAGAATAGAACTGCCCCATAGGGTTTCCAAGGCTGTAAATCTGTACAGAAGCAGACTGCCACATCTTTCCCTCATGGAGTGGCTGGTAGGTGCAAAGCACTGACCTTTTGGTTAGCAGCAGACCAGCTCTTAGCCTTGTAAACTGCTCACAGACCACTCCCCTTAGGGGCCTAAGAAAATCTGCAGGACCCTGTGGGGGCTAGAAGGACTGGTCATCAGTGCGCCACTGCATCCCTATTTCCTTCTGGCCCTTGGAGTTACTCCTACATCCACTCAGTCAGCCAGCCCTGGCTACCAAAGTGACACTCTACTGCTTTTAACGCCCTCCACTTTGAAAGTAAGGACTTTCTGTCACTTGTATAGATCCCAAGGGTAGGCAAGGTGGAACTGAGATGCCAGCACCTGACACAATCCAATTTGACTAAATCTAAGGAATGGGGACCTTGGGCAAATCACTCTACACGTTTCCCCAAGGCAGCCACCCTTGGACCCTAGTGCGCCAGACCAAGCACCGACATAGGAATAGGGTTTAGTAGCATTGGAATGGGGGGTTCCAGTGATTCTGGAGTCAGAACACAAAGGCCCAGATATCTCAGTGAGTACAGTACTCTCCAGGCACAGAGGGGGGAACAAGGGGGACTCCTGTCCTTCAGTGGGAGAGCTGGGCCTCAAACTAGGGGGTCCAGATTCCAAGTGTAGACAGGGTGGAATGGGAGGAGTTTTTGGTCACTGCTTGTGAGGCCAACTCCTTAGGGGAAGAAGGGCTGCAGCTACCACAGCCTGCTGAGCCCCCAGGCCCAGGAGGAGGAGGAGTGGGCTTTGGGCCTCGCCTCCTCCAGGCAGCTCCCGGCTCCCTTGTTTGGAGGCATTCCTGTAAACCCTGAGGAAAGCTCCAGATGCTCCCTCAGGAGAAGCAAAGGCGTGGAAGCAGAGAATTTGCAGCCTTTTCTGGAAACCTCCCTGACTGTTCACACCAGAGCTGCAACTCTAGGTAAAGGGACCCCATCTGGTCCAGAGGGTGCCTGCGCCCAGACCAGAAACTCCCAGGTGCCCTTTCTGCACCCCACCCCCTCTCCACCAGGAGCTAGGTTACCATCTCTAACCCTGCTGCCCATGTCTCTTCTCTGCCCGAGGTTTCAGGAAACCCAACTGATAGATGGCACAGGCAGCTGCGCTTTGTGGAACAGGAGGTGCTCTGCCTGGAGCGAGCCTCCAGAGAGACCTTCATACCCCGCTGCAACAGGCAGGGCCTGGCAGCCTGAGGCTGAGTAGGGGCTGGGGCACACAGCTTGCCCTGAGCATTCTGCATTTGTGGTGGTTTAGGCCCTCTGGTGAACTCAAGAAGGGTTGGCTTCAAGGCTTCTTAGCCCTCCGTGGACACCTAGAAGGAATCCGCTGGAATGGGGAACCCAGGCAAGTCCCTACCTCTGCTGAGGGGGCCAATAGAATCCTGACTATGGGTGCCCCTGAGTGAGCAAGTCATTGTCCTCCTGGGGGAGAGGGAGAAGATGCTGTTGTGGAGTGATGGGGGGGGGTGACCTCAGCTCTAGATGGCACTCAGCTCTGCTGGGCGTGCAGTGGACACTCAGTAGGGTCAGTTGCAGTGAGTCTAGGGTAACAGCCCATCTTGGAGCCTCTAGTTTTCCACTCAAACCAAGGGCAGAGCCCCCACATGACTAGGCTCTGTCTTTTCACAAAGGTTAATCTGGTTTGCTCTCTTTATCTCTGGATTCTCCCAGAAGTTCAGTGGTGTGGACTCAAAGGGTGGAATTAAAAACAAAGTGGGCCCCACCCATGTTTATCCCATAGCCAAGTCAGAGTTTTGTACTCTGTTGGAGTTGAGGAACGCTCTCTATTGTGCAGATGGGGTAACTGACCTGTAAACTCAAAACACTCACTGCCACTGAGTCAATTCCGACTCATAGTGACCCTCTTTGGTTTTCTGAGGTGGTAATCTTTACAGAAGTAGATTGCCCAGTTTTCCTTCCTTGGAGTGGCTGGTGGGTTTGAATCACCAACCTTCTAGTTAGTAGTCAAATGCCTTAGGTACTACATCACCAGAGCTCCTTGATTGAACTGTAGCTGGGCTAATTAGGAGTATCCAAAATGTCGCCCTCTCAACCCTTGAGTTAACACCACTGCCAGGGTCACCTTTCCGGGCTCAAAGGTCTTGGGAGAAGAAACCAGGAACTGAGTTCCAGTTGTTCCTTTGCCTGATTTTGTTTCTACACTTGAGGGGAACCCCTGCCCTAGAAGTGACAGCACCAAAAGGAGCTCTGCTGCTGAAAAACCCAAGGGATATCCCCTGATCCTACCTCAGTTCCCTTTCTAAGAGGGGTGAGTTGACCAGTTGGTCCCAGGAGCCTTTGCCCCCAGGGCCTTCTGGCAGATGTACAGCTGTGGAGGCCATTCCAAGGAGTTGGCTAGACAGCAGAGGTTTTGGGCCTTTCACCAACCCTCTGAGATGGAAGGAACCCCTTAGTTCCAGAATAGAAAGCTGCAGTCCTGAAGCCTGCAGAGGTGGTGGGGGGTGGGGAGTGGGGAAGGGGAGTGGTGGCCAGCAGGGGGTGAGGTTAGGGTGAGAAGAGACTTTCCCAGAAGGACCCTCTCAGGCAAAAGTCCAGGTCACAGCTTCGGGGTGGTGGAGGGGGGTCAGAAAACAGGGGTGTAGGCACCCAAACCTGGTTCTAGATTACAAGCCATAGCACTACGACCTTGAACAAGTTTTAGGAACACTTTAACTGATTCATTTCCCTGATTGTTTTCTCTTTATGAAAGCTCAATAGTGATCTTTGATAAAAATCTATGTCCTAATAAGTTCTTCCAGGAAGTATAAAATAGAAATTCCAGGTGGTATAAAAGCATTGAGTCATGGTTTAATTGGCAACATTTTTCTTTCTTAGTGGTACAGGAAATGATGGTGTGTCTGACTCTGATATTTATCAAGCACTTCACACAATCTATTCATTTGTTAACAAGTGTTTATTGAGTATGGCAGGCAGTTCTGAGCTCTGGGACCAGCCATCTACCTTTGACATTCCCTGTTCACCTCATGATCCAATGACAACCCAGTGAGGTAGGTGCTTCTTTTCCAGTTGCAGATGAAGAAGATAAAGCTCAGAGCTGCTAGGAACTTGGTCAAGGTCACATAGCTGTAAATACCAGCATTTGGACCTGAATTCAGCTTTGTTGGTCTCCACTGCCCTTCTACCAGCATTGAGGTCCAGTTTGGGGTGTTCCAGATGGAGTGAGCA